AGTATTTCTGCTCCCCTGCAGACTGCAAGGCAGCTGTCCTAAGGCAGGATCACAGGCATCCACAAGGGATGAAGGTCCGTTCTGAGGATGTGCATCCTTGGGAGATAATCAAGGTGGGGCGTTGGAGGTGATCTGAGGAGGCTCTGGGCAGGATCAGGGCATTCAGGGCCACGGGAAGCTGTGTTCCCCTTCCCTCTCCACCACCTCCACACATGATCACCCCGTTCCCCGCTCCTCCTCGTGGTGCTCTCTTTGTCGGTCGCTGCCTTCCTCATGCCAGTGTAGCTCTGGTGAAGAGTGCTCATGTTAAACCTGCCAGAAGGACGTTTGGTGCCCACTACAGAAAAGTGACAATGCCTGCCTGGAGGGCTAGACCTTGTTTGCTTGGTATTAAAATGTCACAATATTGCTTTAAAAGGAGAAATGTACACTGCTGAATTTTAAAATTAGGGGATATAGTGACTGTGTTCATGTTTGAGGGTGTGCAGGCAAGAAACAGTGTCCAGCCTCTACCTATTGTGTGTGTTTGAAGGGTGACAGGATTCACCTTAACCAAACAGCAATCTCTAATTGTAGGAAGAAGGCTCTTCTGACCAGTTCACAGCAGGTGGGCTGGTAGGGTTTTTTCTTACCAGAGGATTAATTAGGGGTTTGTTAGGTGCTGATCAAAGTAGGGAAAGTAGTCTTACAGAGAGACACTGAGCAGCTATGTTGGTTAGCAAGAGAAAGTCGCTGCTAGCACAAGCGTGGACCTGTCCAGTGAACCAATGAGCCATCCCTGCTTACAGCAGGCTCCGAGACCACAAAGTGCAGCAGCCTAGCGCAGCAGGAGAGCTTCCCTGCCCAGAAGCAGCTCTGCTGTCACCTTCACTGGGGTAGGCACCAGCATCCCAGGCCCCGTGTGTCTTCTGGGGTAACCAGCCCGTCCTGCAGCGGTTAGGGACAGACACTGCAACAGCGAGTGGTGAGCAGGGGAGGTCGGCTGCCCAGCAAGGCAGCTCTAGAAGCAGAATTGGTCAGCAGAGGGAAAGACAATGTAGGCAGGAGCCTTTCTTTCAATTTCTGCTACATTCAGTATTATTGCTAATTATTTAGATTTCACAGGGCAGTGTTTTGTTGCAGCATTTATCTTATCCATTAAATTCCATTTCTACAGATGTGGCCGTGCACTCATGCCTTGTGTGGGCAAGGGCAGACCTCAGCTTGTTACCCCACTAGCGGGGTTTTCTGGGTTTCTAGGTGCAGGATTTAGGGGAATGCCAGGCATCTCTTACTGCTGAACAAACCCTAGCACATTGAATTATTCAGATGCACTATTAAGTCTGTACATGGTACAAGCTGAATTTCTCCTATAGCTGCTGGTGCAGAATTAAATTATTCACTGTCCGAATTTCACTTTCAGTCATGCTTTCCTTTTGGCTGAAGCAATCAGCCCAAGACTAAAGACATTTTAAAGCAGCTGTGGATGATTACAGGATGTTTGCTCCTCAGGGACATGGTTTCTTTCCAGAGACCACTAAGATAAGGTTTCTCTAAGTATGAACCCTATTGTTTAAAACAAAGCTCTCATTTTTACTCATTGGGAAGACTTCAGGTGCTATTTCTGTATCTTTCCAGAGTCTGAATTTCCATTTCATCATCCGTAGAACTGGAAAAATACTGACTCGATTCACTAGAGGCAGATCTCTATCTCGTATTGTGTAAATAAAAGTGTAAAGCTAGACTCATAAAGACGAGATCAGAAGTTGTAGCCAACATTTAGGCTTCAGTGACACTTGCAGATCATCTGGTTCCATAGCACAGTGGATATCTGTATTCCTAGAGCTAAACCCCTCATCCCTGCAAAGGGTAGGATGTTGTGTGTTATGGAAATCATAGTCTTGCTACTGAGGATCCCGTTGTTGAGTGATGAAACCCCTGCTGAGCAGGCAGCACTGGCATGGTGACAGTCCACTGAGGAGGTGTCTTCCTGTGCACAGCACTTCTGCTGACAGCAGGCGGCTGGCACAGAGAAGCAGAGCTTGTACTGCGCCACACAAGTGCACAGCTGCTGTATTTCTTTTAAAGTCTCTTTAAAATGGACCTTAACATATTCAGCTTAAATCTTGGAGTCTCAGAAGCGTGTTTTTACTTAAGCTGTAGTAAAAAGCTTCCTACTTTAAGTGCCAAGAAGACTGTTTCTGAGCAAACACAGACTTTTCTGTACATTGCTAATTATATCTCTAGTTAAGCAATGTCAGCTTGAGTGGTGTAAGTTTTATTATGAATACTTAGTGGACTCAATCAATTCTGTGTACCAAATGTTTAGCTGGACAAAAACCTTCATCATGTTTCCAGTCAGTCAGTAAGCAAATGACATAAAAGTAACATAAAATACATTTTCTTTATGTACTGTTTTGAAAATTAACTTCTGCTTCCTAAGCTTAGTCAGAGAAAAAGCAGGACCATTGATTTCAGTGTATCTTTGCTACACTCCTCTAGCTATGTTTCCTCAATGCAGTAGGTAATACTTTATTTTTTCAGGAAGCACCAAAGCCACACACTGTGGTCACATTAAAATTTAAAGTTGTCTTAATGCAAGCAATGATGACTTTTTGGAGGAGGAAATAACACCCCCCCCCCTTACCTCCCTTCCATCCCCCCAAACTTTTAGGATGGTGAGCATGACATTTAAAACCATGGCTACATCAAATAAAGTTCATGGAAGTCCATTTAGAAACAAATGTTGAGTTTACACTGCAAGTTCAGAAGAGTAAACTCACACTTTTTTGGTATAAAAGCAAAGATGGAGAGGTCTCCAATCAGAGAGACATTTAAAAACCAACACTTTGGTATTCCTGTCTGTTGTGTGCAATCAGTTCTTCACTGGAAGCTTTAGTTATGAAAGGCCGGAATTCGTCAATTTTGATGAATGGTGGCTAACTCTAACAGGAAGCAAATGGGAAACACCCAAATTCCAGCTAATAGTTTGTAGACCCAGTATTTCTGCCTCTGGAAATGTCTTTGATTCAAAGTTGTGGCACACACATTGCATGCAAACTCGTGTACTTATGTGAGCTACGAAGAGCATTCCTGATGCTCCCAGATAGTACAGGGAGCAGATGTGAACAGGGACAGGAGCATAACTGTGTCTTTGGTAAGACGAAGCCAAGAAAACAAGGATATTTACTGTGGGAGGAGGCAGAGCCAGAATGCTCTGGAGCAGAACATGATAAAGTGACATCTCCAGGTCCTGTTAACGGGGACGGGTCTGAAGAGACCCAGACTATGTGCCTGCACAAGCGTGGGGATGAGCAGTGCCTTTCTGGCATTCAGAGCAGACGAGAGAGGACAACCTTGAGTGAGCTGTGCTCGTTGTGTCTTGGTTCCTGCGCCTACCAAGGGCACCAAGTGCATGTGGAAAGGTTCCCAGTGACGGGCACTGGGTCTGCGTGGTTCTGCAAAGGTAAAGGCACTGTGCGCAGGCTCCAAAGTTTGCCTTGTGTGTCTAATTGCCCTGGAAAAGACAAACTTGCTCTTAAAATAAGTGTAACTTAAAAAGATAAAAGCATGTAATAAGCCTCACACCTGATCATTTTGTGTTGCAGCCATTTAATATGTTCTACCTCTCACTTTGAATTCTAGAGCAGTTTTGGTTAAACAATTCAACCATTGAACTGCGAGGTTATGGTGCTGTTGAGATGTGTACACCACCCAAGCTAGAATGGGAGTTTTTGCTTGCAGGAGGTGATGGGTCTCCTGTTCATGAACCTGGTCATCAGCAGTCCTTGGATTTCAGATCCAGCTGGTAAACAGTCTAATTTTTAAAAAATCTTACTGCTTTATTTTCTGTTGTCTTGCACTTGCTCATTAAGTGCCTGTCTGGTCTTCCACACAAGTCTCAAGTAGCCACTCTGAGCAGCATGAATGTACCAAATAATTCTCACTTCTTCACCAGGAATGACCTGTCCAGTCAAACACTGCGTAGTCTAAAACAGTTTTAGCATTCATTTGGTTGCATTGGTTAACTCCAAATAATCAGTTAATGCTTCAGGACAGCAGTTTTCTGAAGTAGCAGTCTCATACTAAGTTACCGTTGATTTTCAATATAATTTGAATTTGGCTTAAAACCTGTGATTTCCTAATTCACCTTAATTGACTGCCACAGTGCAATAAGCAAAAACTTCAAAATACGAATTCTAAGGAATAATTAAACAAAAATTTTCAATCTTTGCTTTTACAAGCCCATTTTATTTCACTAAAAGAATGAATTCCAGATTTACAGGACTGACTTCAAATAATATTAAAATAGTGTCCAGAGCACAATTTCAGCCTGAGGGTACCAAGATTTTTTCAGATTGCGACTGTACACCAGCAATGGAGTTCTCTCTCTCAGACAAGACTTAAGTAACAGATAATGAAATAAACTCTGGGCACTCTTCTGTAACTTGTGTCTCTTACTTGAACTGCTGCATGTGGCACTGAAAGCTGCTCTACTTTTCCCAGCTAGAGCGTATTGTCTGGTAGTAGTGCTACTTTGCCTGGATTAAAGGACCTGGGACTCTCCGCTCTGTAGAGATGCAAGCTAGGGCAGAGCTATTGATTGTTTTTGAGATCATGAAGCAAGATGGTAAGGTTAATGTTATTAAACAAACCCTGCAATATTAGCACTGGAGAGCACATGCTGGAAGTGGTAATAAAAACTGAGATAACTGTCATGCAGCAACATACAGGCAGGAAGCACTGTCAGCTGGTTTATATGGTAGAGACACAATTTAAAGCAAATTTTCAGTGAAAACTTGATACTGTTTAGATCCTTTCACTTTACCATTTTCCCTTTTCAGATGTTTGATATACTCAATATTACAAATTAAAAACAAATACAAAATAGGCCTTTTATGAAAAGCATTTCTGAAACTTCCCATTGTTGCATCAATTTTTCCATCACATTTGCATGCATGATGACTTTTTTAAGTTCCTGCCACAGTCATTGATCAGTTATATCCCGTCTGTTTTGCTGTCTAACTCTTCCTAAATGCCACCCGTTTTGCTACATTTTCAGCTCCAAATTTTGCTATCAGTTTATTTCTGACATGTTCATCATCCTTTTGCAATTCCAGATCATCCTCTCTGCTCCATACAGGGTACCCATCCAAGCGCTGCCCCGTCTGCAGAAAGTATAGAGTAGTCTCCACTTCACCAGTGTTTTTCAGAAGGGCCTGTGTAACGGTGAACAGGTCCATGCCGGACTTCTCCATGAAGTACTGAATAGTTTTTACTACTTCCCCCACCACACTGGAAGAAGAGCAAGCACTTGTTGGTCTTTCTTCCCTTTGTAATTGAGTGTCAGGGAGAGCACAGTCCTTCGGTCCAGTTTTCAAACCAGCTGCTGTTTCTCCTGGGGACTTTCCATCTTGTGTAGAAAGTTCTTCTGAAGTGTCACTTCCTGACTAAAAGCAAGAGAAGTGGAGTCATCAATTAAACATGGTATTTTCTAGCAAGCTGCTTTTATCACTGTGACCCAAACACTTTCCACTGTGACTGCAAATTTTTTTATATACTGTAGAAATTACAAGACATAATAAAAGTCAGTGAAGCCGTAAGTGTTAACAGGGATATACAAGACCACAGAAAAGCATGAAACTGAAGGGAGAATCTGAACAAAATGAGTATAAAATGCAAAAGTAAGTGTTAATGCAACTGCAGGAACACTTTATGCCTGAGATGAAAGGGTGACTTCCACTTGCCAATACAGCTTTTAATGTGACAACGCTGTCACGTTAATTTCCTCAAGTTTTCAGGTAGGGAATCAAACTAAGAAAATCCGCCGCCGAGGCACGGCAAACTGTGAGCCACAGCTCAGTGCAGCTCCCACCTAGCGCAGCGGAAGGGGCGCCATGGCACAAAGTCACTGAGGAAGCGGAGCGACCGTCGTGCTTGTCACAAGCAGGAGGCCCTGCTGGCCGCAGCAGCAGCGCTGTTCCCCGCGCTACCCCGGTGCTCACCTCCGTGCTCTCAAACTCCCGATTGGCTGCCTCGAAAATACCCATGACTTCTGCGGGCTCCGCCGTCTGCTGGGGCTCTACGGGAACACGCGGGCGCCGACTGCGGGGTCGCAGCGGGGCCGGGGCCGCGGCCGCGCC